AGATTCTGGGACACATGGCGGTGTGCACTTACGTGGTCCGCCATGCCAGGCTCCATATGAGGCTCCTCCAATTATGGCTGGCCTCCCAGTTCTCTCAGGCTCGGGACGGTCTGGACAAGGTTCTCACGGTCCTGTCCCCGATACTCGCTTCCCTCCTATGGTGGTCCTGCCCGAGCAATATGTTGCAAGGGATTCCCTTCAGGGAGGCCAACCCGTCCATAGACCTGATGTCCGACGCTTCGGACCTGGGCTGGGGAGCCCACATGGGGGACATGCAAACCCAGGGAATGTGGTCGGCCCCGGACTTGCCCCTTCACATAAACGTCAAGGAGCTCAGGGCTGTTCGGTTGGCGTGCGTGGCGTTTCTCACGCACCTCCGCGGTAAGGTGGTCAGAGTCCTCACGGACAACACCGCCGCCATGTACTATATCAACAGGCAAGGTGGGACTCGTTCCCTAGCCCTCTGCCGAGAAGCCCTAAACCTATGGGAGTTCTGCATAGCCCACGATATCTCCCTGATGGCGGCTGACCTCCTGGGCGTCCGCAATACGCAGGCGGACCGCCTCAGCAGGGTCTTCTCCCCCCAGTACGAGTGGTCGCTCCACTCGGAGGTCGCTCACCGGCTCTTCCAAGAGTCTCCCCAAATCGACCTGTTTGCAAATCGTCAGAACCGGCGTTGCCCCCAGTTCTGCTCCAGGGGAGGGGTGGGGGAAGGCGCGATCTCCGACGTGTTCTTCCTGAGCTGGTCAGGCCAGCTCCTCTATGCCTTTCCCCCATTACCCTCATCGCCAAGGTCCTTCAGAAGGTGAAAGCGGAGAGGGCGAGAGTCATTCTCATAGCCCCAGCGTGGGCCCGCCAGCACTGGTACGGGCCCCTCCTACGTCTCTTAGCGGCCCCCCCCGAGGGCGCTGCCGCTCCGCCCGGACCTCCTCTCCCAGGACGGGGGGCGCCTCCTCCATCCCAATCTGGCCGCGCTTCACCTGACAGCGTGGCTGCTCCGTGGCTGAATGAGGAGGAGAATCGGTGTTCGGAGCAGGTAAGGCGAGTCCTCCTGGAAAGCAGGAAGCCGTCCACGCGTCGGACGTACGTGGCGAAGTGGTCCAGGTTCGCCAGGTGGGCGAGTGAGCAGGGAGTGTCCCCTTCTGCTGCACCTCTCCAGTTTATCCTGGACTACCTCTTATCGCTCAGGGACTGGCACCTGCCTCGGTCAGGGTGCACCTGGCGGCCATATCGGCCTTTCACCCGCCGGTGCAAGACCGCTCGGTATTCTCCCACTCGATGATCTCCCGTTTCCTGAAGGGCCTTGACCGTTCGTTCCCGTATGCTAGGCCCCCCCGTGCTGCAATGGGACCTCAACCTGGTCTTGTCCCAGCTCACGGGGCCCCCCTTTGAACCCCTGGCCACATGTTCCTGATCACACCTCTCGTGGAAGGTGGCCTTCCTAGTGGCGATCACGTCGGCCTGATGTGTCTTGGAGCTCAGGGCCTTAACCTCAGAACCCCCCTATACGGTTTTCCATAGGGATAAAGTCCAGCTCCACCCACACCCGACATTCCTCCCAAAGGTGGTCTCCGCCTTTCATGTGGAGCAGAGCATCTTCCTCCCCGTGCTCTGTCCCAAGCCCCACTCCTCTAGCGAGGAACGCCGCCTCCACACGCTCCATGTGCGTAGGGCGTTGGCTTTTTATCTGGATCGGACTAAGCCATTCCAGAAATCCTCTCAGGACATTTGTAGGGCGGCCACGTGGGCCTCGGTTCACACATTTACTTCGCATTACGCGATCGTCTCCCAGTCTAGGGATGACGCCGGGTTCGGCCGGGCGGTACTTCGTCCTGAACCTTCGTGAACTCCTACCCACCTCCAGCAGATATTGCTTGGAGTCACCTACTGTGGAATACACAGGAGCAATCACTCGAAGAAGAAAGGACAGTTACCTGTTCCGTAACTGGCGTTCTTCGAGATGTGTTGCTCCTGTCTATTCCACACCCCGCCCTCCTTCCCCTCTGTCGGAGTTGTCCGGCAAGAAGGAACTGAGGGTGGGGGGAGCCCGTAGCTCCCCATATAGCACGATATACAGGCACCACTCCAGGGTCGCAGCGGGTGCTCCCCCACTACGGATGCTGCTAAGGGAAAAACTTCCGGTGCACGTGGCGAGCACGCACACCTACTGTGGAATAGACAGGAGCAACACATCTCGAAGAACACCAGTTACGGAACAGGTAACTGTCCTTTTTCAAATGATCCCTCACAAGGCATACTTTGTACAAAATTTAATATAGTCTTGTAAAAGGGGTGAACATAGAGGTATAGACTGTCACAGTTGGTAATCTTCTTGCCTGTTCTGGTGATCAAGGGGAACAAATAATAGCACTGTGGCCTAGCTGTGGTGCGTTAAAAGTTAATAGGAAAGACATGATTGAGCCAGTGCAGAAGTGCTATAAATCAGAAGAATGAGGGAATTTGACAGCAGAATCATGATATGCACCAAGCCTTTTTGGCTAGCCAGGTTTGGAATTCTGGCTCTCCAGTTGCACTGCACACGCGAGGTACTGAGCTCTTCTGAAATCTTGTAAGCACCTAAGAACGTCTAGACCAATGGGAGCTGCTGGGTGCTCGTACTCTTCTGAAACTCTGGCCGTAGCATTTTAACTTCCTGGTTTTAAAAAAAAATCAGAATTGGGCCTCTCCCTTTAATATTTATATTTGTTATTTTTAGGAGTGGAAACATCCCGTCTGTGTGGCAACAGTCTGCTAGCACTGATATAAATGTTCTGACAGCTAAATAGTAATAACTTTAAAGGAGAGAGATTTTTTCCATTGATACAAAACTATGAAGATTAGTTTATAACTGGCCTTTGCTCCCCCCAAAAAAAGAACTTTTTGCAAGTGTAGTTTCCAGGAGCTCAGTCCTGGAAGGTGTGGAGTACTGTGACCTGCTCCAACAATGCACTTAAGCACGTATTTAACACTTTGAAAACTATGGTACTAGTCATGTGCTTAAATTATGCATGTGCTTAAACACTTTGCTAGATTGCTCAGCTCCATGCAGGATCGAGCCCCATGATGTGGAATAATCGCTGCATGTTTCAGTTTGATAAGCCATGCAGTGTGATTCCAAATATACTTTATATTTTAAATGGTGAAATCCAGTACCTTTCAGTGCATGTTTCAGGGGGGTGTTCTCCCCATGATTATGCATTATGGAACCCTGAGACGCAGTCCACCCCAGGGCTCTTAATGGGGTGAAGCAGCTTCATATCACCCACAATGTAGGGTCGTGTATATTGGCAATAATCTAACCCCTACCGCATTTGGCCCTGGCCCACTCAACATTGCAGTATTCTTTGGATAAAATAATGGAGGGTATATTTTGTACTGAATATTAATTTCTGTGGTCCTGTGGCTTCCCTTGCCTTTTGTCTTGTTTGTTAGATTGTAGAGTTGTTGGGGCAGAGAACATGTCTTCTCTGTTTGCAAAATGGAGGGCAGCGATATGAACTGGGGAGAGACTAGAGCATGGCACAGTTATGTTTAACTATGAAGTAGATTGTTTAAAAATACGTACATAAAATTAACAACAGTTCTAGCGCGTGCCTGCGCGCACACAGATATAAGGTCTGGTGGTGCAGAGATCTCCTAGGCAGCCAGCATCAACTCACTCTCTCTCTATATATAAAATATGAGATTATTCAGCTACACCGCTGTGGACTTCCTCCATCATGTAGTGTAAACAAAAGGAGCATTTACTTTACAGTTTTGCCGACCACAAGGGCTCAAAAATCATGAGTCAGGCCCCCAAACATCCCGAGAGTTTCAGAAATAGCACATCTGGTGTACGTTGTATTTGCCTTCTTGTGTTGAGACTTCAAGATTTACGTTTTAAAGTTTTTCTCTGCAACCATAAGGGCTGGAAACACCCTTTAAAAAAAAAAAAAGAAAGTGGAGACTCCCATGCGGTCACCTGACTGCAGGATTTGGGAGTTTACGAAGAGCACCAGATTTCACTGGGGGAGTTGGCAATGCTGCCGGGAGGAAGGATGCTCTTTTATGGTTAGGAAACGTCTCTGAGACTCAGAAGGCGTGGGGGTGGGGAGTGGAAGAGTTGGGGGGGGGTGTACTTGTGGCTCTGCACAAACTTTCCTGTAACCGTGGGCAAGTTACAGTCTCCCTGTGCCTCAGCTTACAGGGCTGTGGTGAGGTCAGATTCGTTAGGGCCAGATGGTTCCTGCTCTTGATGCACTTGGGTGAAGGAGCCTCGCTTTCCTTCCTCCCTTCCCTGGAGCTCCCCATAGGGTGGGGTGGCCCCACACCACCCCCATACTGGGGATCCTCAGGGTACAGTCTGGCCCTTAACATGTGGGAGGCCTGGGGTACTGTGGTGATAGATGCTAGAGAGATGGCTAACCATAAACAGCATTGTCTCTGAAGCTATTTAATCCAGGCCTCAATCCTGCAGACACCTAGGCACATGCTTAACTTTACTGCTGTGAATAGTCCCACTGAAATCAATGGCACCACTCATGGTAGTAACATAGGCATGTGCATTAAGGTTCTGCAGGATAGGGACCAAAGTGATCATTTAAAGAACAACAGAAAATGCATTTAAAAATTGCACCATCCACAATAACAGGCCTGCACCAGTCTTCCGTCAAAGCCCAAATAGGTAGTGGTCCCAGCTGTGCTCTTCTTTTTTTATCCCTTGCATATTCTCTGTCCAAAAAGCCTCAAAATACAAGAGGAAAATATTTAAAATAATACAATTTTGTATCAGTACATTTATCCTACTGCTCAGACCATCAATAACTTGCTTGCCCCTTTCAGGTTAAATACATAGGGAATAATTATCTAGTTGGGCTTTCTTCCATTAGAAGACTCTTGGAAACAAGTTTTTGATATGCAGTCATCAATCCCTTACTGTGAAATGTGCTATATTATAAGGGCAATGCCAAGCCAGTAGAGATCTATGTTTTTAATTTCAGCTTTCTTTAAACTTCTTTTAGGAGTTTCTTTAAAGCCTTTTCACTTATTGGAGAAACTCAGGAAAGAGAGAGAGTATTAATCCACTTCTCCAACAGATACTATCAGTGTAACCCGAACACTGTTTCTACTCAAGGTAATTTTGCTTCTGATTTCTAGGTCATGGGCATTCCTCTTTGTTCTTTCACTTTTGTCTATAGCCTGTATGTTTCCTGCTAGAAATATTCTCCTGCCTGAGGCAAAACAAGTATATGCATGAAAATGGACTGTTTGTTGAAGGCGAGAGATTGACAACAGTGAGAATGGTAGTCCTCTAATTTATCCTTGCCAGAAGAATGGTATGGACAGAGGCAGGGCAACCTTATTCATATTGGCCTCTGTTCAACACGGTATTTAAACATGCCTAAGTACTTGAGTAGTTCCTCAGCATGGCTACGTACATGCTTAAAATTGGGCATGTCCTCCCTGGCCTCATTGCATGTAGGCCAGCTAACATCAATTAGTAGGCAACTTCCTCTTCAGCACTCTCAGTAATTTTTAAAATTTGGAAAGGAAAAAACAAAACCAAGAAAGAAAACATTCCCGAATAAGAGAACAAACTATCTGCTGACATAACTCCATTGAATTCGATAGTTATACCAACAGAGAATTTGACCTAAAAATTCCAACTACTTCAGATCATGCCTAAGTCTAAAATAAAGATAGTAGGGAAAGAAAGAGGAAAAATGTATTTCAGGCCCCCCTTAATCCCAGCTACCTAGATGATTTTAGCTACTAATACATTAAAATTGGGGTAGAAGAAGATGAATAACCAACTGTGCACATCACAGATGAAATAAGACATTGTTTGGAGTCAGAGTCAAGAATTGGGTATAGAGAGGATTAGAATTAAATCTACTGTAGCTGACTCCATACTGAATTGATATGTTTCTCCATGACACTCTTGGGAAGTGAATTGTTGAATCTAAAATAAATGTTTAGCTTCACCCAGATCTGAGGGTTTGATTGTGTCTTTTGGCTCAGCCCTCTACGGGGAAGTGTGGTTAGCTGCTGCATCCCAGGAGGGGTCCACCGAAGGATGCGTGATGCCAGTACCGGAACACCACAAATCAAAACCCTGGGTGAATGGAAGTTACCATTGCTGGTGATGGTGGCTGCTGTTGTTTTATTTAATACTACTGTAGTACCCAGATACACCACTCTGGATTGTACTCTGCAGTACAAACACCTAAGGAAAAATGGTTCCTGCCTCAAAGAACTTACTCTCTTAAGGTGTGTCTACACAGCAGGATTCTTTCAGCTACGGGTAGTGTACGTACATGCATAACCCCCCAGCATGGGTATAAACAGCAGTGTAGATGTGATGCACGGATTAAGCCTGTAGGGTGAAGGTGCACAAGAAGGGTGTGGTTGTGTACTGAGTACGTATCCTACACGATCTATATTGGCCCAAGCCATGACTTACCATCTACACCGCTGTTTTTAGCAGTGTAGATCCTGCTGCCTCCTGCTGCTGGAGCCTTTCCTTGCTGCAGTGAAAGGCTCTGGCAGTGGGGAGCAGCTGAACCCTTTCCGGATCGCCTCCCCTCTGCCAGAGCCTTTTACGGACACCCACATCAGTGTGGACACAGCCTGCTTCTCATTGGGGTACGTAACTACAGGTACACTACACCCCACTGAAAGACATAGACATAGCCTTAGGGCCTGATCCCGCAACGATCCTAGCACATACCTAGTCCCACTGGCTTCAAGATTCGATCACATACTATTTATTTCTGTTCAGTACACAGGATGGACAGTGCGTACGGCCCAATGCCTTACTCACTGCACATCATCCAGAGCGCCCACTGAACAGGAAATGGTTAATTTCCTCACTGTTTTTTTTTTATGGTGCTCATCAGTGTAATAGTTGAATGCTTCATAGAGAGGGATGAATGTGTCTTCACCCATCCCCGGTGAGGTGATACTATGACCCCCACTTTACAGATGGGGGTACTGAGGCGCAGAGAGATGAAGATCGATATTTTCAAGTGTTTGCTAGTTTGGAGTGACCAATGCGAGATGCCTAGGGCCTAAGCTCCCACAACTCCCATCAATTTCAGGTGGATTAGTGGGCCATCAGCACTTTGGAAAGCTGGCTCCAGATGTCTCAAAATGAGGCCTCAGGAAAATGAGGAACACAGTCAGTGGCTGCTTCTGCAAATGTTGGCCTACGTGACTTTCCCAATGCCACATAATCAGCCAGTGGCAAAGCCTGAAAGAGAACCCATTTCTTCCGACTTCTAATCCAGTGCTGTCACCTCAAGAGCCTCTTCCCATGGATCCCTGCCACACTGACTACACAACAGGCAGCTTCTGCTGCATATGAGGCTGGGGTCCTGTGAGCACCAGCAGCCTCTTTCATTGTGCAGCCCTGCCTCATTCAGAGTCTAAGACCAGCAGTTCAGGAGTCAGGGGTCCTGTGCGGGGAAATAGTATGTGCTCATGTTATTCAGGACTATGTTTCTGGAAGACCAGACATGCCAACTGAGAGAGGCTATAACATCTCCTTGCTGGAAGGTCAGTGGTGTCCCAGGCAAGGAGACAGGGGGTTTATTCTTTCTATTCTGGCCTAACGAGCAAAAAAAAAAAAAAGAACTGATTCCATTTGGTGTACTGATACCAGCAAAGTAGCCGTGAAAGTGTGGTTTTTACTTTATTTTATCAGTCGATGCTGCAAGACAGTTTTGACAGGTGATAAAAGACGAAAGAAAGTATGAGATGAACTGACTTTCGTTAAATGACTTTAGATTGATTTTCCTGCATTTTTCTATGTGTTACTTGATGAGCAGATTCCCCTTAAAGGCAGAGACAGACTCAGTTGGGGAGCAAGGTCCTAGTGCAATCTGAGCTGATCTTAAATACATTGTCCTGGGTAGTGTGAGTTTATGTGTAGGGTGACCAGACGTTATCAGGACCTTCCCAATATTAGGGGCTTTGTCTTATATATGTAACTATATCCCCACCCCACCCCGAAAAAAGTGTGTCCCATTTTTTCACACTGCTATCTGGTCACCCTATTTGTGTGTGATATTTGCTCTGTTTCTTTTCCCAGATGGAGTCCATTGTCTCACCTGTGCAGTGATGCTGCTGAACACTGACCTACATGGCCATGTGAGTGCACGTGCTAAGAACATGCTCTGCCCTTGTTTTCAGGAAGTGCTTGCCTGTCAAAGTTGAGCTTTCAGGAAGTGGTGCTGGTCGCAGATCAGCCCTCTCAGGCGCTCCTTGTTTTGCACGGTGCTCCTCCTTGGGAGCAGGACTGCCACTGGCCGCTCTGCTAGCAGCACAAGGCCCATAGGCATCCTCGCCACCCGTGTGCTTGGATACAGTTGCAGTCCTTATGCTCCCCAGAGCACAGATACTGCTTCCTCCATGGGATATCTCAAAGGCGGTCATCTGACAACTGGCCAACAGATCCTGTTGGGGGGAAAAGCTGCACCCCCAGAAGGGGTGTGACAGTGGGTGTGGTTCCCTGCATGCCCCTCCCGACCTCCAGGAGGGTTGTGCCCACTACCCCAGTTGCAGCATTGCCCATCCCTTGGGTGGGGGAACTGAAAGCACTCCTCCTTCTGATGCTCATCCTCCTTTGTGTTGCTCTTCCTGGGGACAGCAGCCTGTTCTGGCCTGGCAACAGCAGTGTCTGTTGGCTTCTACCTTCCCTGGGGCTTTGCTATCCTGGGGAGGAGGAGAAAGAACCTGGGAGGAAATGGGGATGTTTGGGCAGCCAGTTATGAACTGAGAGCTTCTTGGATGAAGTGACCACAGTTAACGTCCATTCAGTATCCTCTGCAGCTGATGTGAAAACACACATGAGCCAAATAAGACAAAAGGTATGTCTGGCACACTTGATGCAGTAGGAGACTACATAACATATATTTCAGTGCTCTGAGCACCCCGTTGTATGTGCTCATGGTGAGATATGACTGCTCTGAATTTTAACCTTTTGCTGCACATTTTTTGGGAGTCTCCACTACACATTTAGGGTCTAATTCTGCACCCCTTAAGTTACGTGGAATAGCACTTACCCTCAGGAGTATTGGCGTCAGCCGGCTGGCTTGCATGAATAAGAACTACTCCACATATGCCGTTTCCAGAAAACACATGCATTTGCACAAAAGCAAATGCTACCCAACAACAGCTCCACCTTGCAGTCTGTCATGCAGGTGAAACCTCACTGAAGTTAGTAGGAGCTTTGCCTGCGTGAATGACTGCAGCATCAGGCCCAGAGTAATTTACTCTCCAAGATAATGGTATCGGCAATACAGAGAGTAGAGTGAGATTCTTGTGGAAATCTGGATTCCATGCCGATTTCCAGTGGGAAGTGGAGTTTCTTCTTGTTGGACAAAGCCAGAAAAGGTGTAACACAGTGATGCTTTAACTGGAGACGTAATACAGGGCTCTACCATGCCTGCTAGACATCGATCCATGTTGGGTGCAGTGCAGAACTCCCTCTCCCGAAGGAGTGCCAGGAGGGATTCTGCCCTCCGAGAAGCAAGTAGCCCCCAGGAGGAGCCACATCCCTACAATGGGTGCAGCGAACTCCCTCCCTAACTCCCTGCTTGGTGGTCTCACTTTGTGGCCACGCCCCCTCCCTGCCTCTTGGGGGGGGGGTCTTCTTGTTTCCCATTGGCGCACAGAAGGAACTAGGATGACCAGATGTCCCAACTTTATAGGGACAGTCCCGATATTTGGGGCTTTGTCTATAGGCGCCTATTACCCCCCATCCCCTGTCCCGATTTTTCACACTCGCTGTCTGGTCACCTAGAAGGAACAATTCTGACAGGCACTTGTTCAAGGGAGGGCAAGACTCCTTGACACAGTGTAAGAGCCTGGGAGAATCTAACCACAATTTCTAGCCCCTTTTCGTTCAGTGCCATTCTACTCATAGCCACTAGGTGGCAGAGAAGGACTGGCATTTGCCTGAGTTATCCTTGCTCCAGCAGACCGTTCCAGGTGCCCTACAGGTTAAAATTAACGCATGGACACAAACTGTACCTCAGCCGCCCTATCGCCATCCGAGGAGAGGGGAGCTATGTGATCAGACGCTGAGATGTGGGGGTAGGGTGGGACGAATACAACCTTACATTAGTTTGATGTGGCTGTTTAATTTGTATTTCAGAAAATGTATTTACAATGCATGGAGACCTGCCTTAAAGCACCCCAGGGACCGACCCAGACTGGGTTCTTAATGGGGAGGGGGTATTCTAACCGAAGCAAGGCAGAGCTGTCCTTCAAACATTTGGGAACCTTTCGGGGTGGCTCTTACAAGAAAGGAGGTTGCCCCTTGTACAGACTTCAGAGCAACTCCAAGGAATTTATAAAAGTTACCCTAAGACAACTTTGAAAGTCTTAGTTGTATGTCTTCACTACCCGCCGATGCGGCGGGTAGCAATCGGTCTATCGGGGATCGACTTACCGCGTCTCGTGAGGACGCGGTAAAATCGATCCCTGATCGCTCTGCCGTCGACTCCGGAAATCCACCTCGGCAAGAGGCGGCAGCGGAGTCGGCGGCAGCGCGGCAGCGGTCGACTTTCCCCCGTCCTCACCGCCAGGTAAGCCGACCTAAAATACGCAACTTCAGCTACGGTATTCATGTAGCTGAAGTTGCGTATCTTAGGTCGGAACCCCGCTGTAGTGTAGACCCAGCCTAAGGGACTTCAACATCCATTTCCCATTAGTTTTAATGGGGAATGGGAGTCCAAAGCCCCGAAGTGGCTTTGCAGATCTCAGCCTCCAGATTTTATAAGGGAAAAATAGTTACAAGCAAACTCTACTCCCAGAGAGCCACATTCCGCTACCCTCTCATGTTGAGAACAGTGCCTTTCTCCTCCAGGAGTCTCATTGAAGTTGATGGCACATCTCAAGGAATAAGGCAGCACTCATCATGAGTAAAAATAAAGCTACAGGAATGTGCCCCAGAGATTGCTCCGTTGTTTAGCTGGAGACTATCCCTTTACACTGCTGCTGAGGCTAAGCTAATTCTGTTTGTCGTAAGACCGTGTAACCCTGCAGATTTCTGTGACTGGTGGTTATTACCATGTTGTCTTAAGTGTGGAGAACACAGAGCAGCTGCCATAACAAGTAACAGAATCCTGCATGTATTTCTCTTGTCCTTTTCTTCCTTGGATCACCTGTAATCTTTTTATTCTTTTGCATTTCCCTTATAGGTGGTAAGTTGGGTGTTTATAACTTTGAATGCAGCCTCTTCTGCACATATCGTAACTCCTGTTTTCTAACTCCAGTATAGTGTTCCAGCCTGTTAGCATGTCTCTGCTATTTTATTTACCAAAGAAGTAAATGAATGGATCTAATGAACCCCCTTTATTCCTCCCTGTCTTGCTGCAGTTCATCCTCTTTCCATGTACTGGAGTAAGCTACTTCAGTTACCATGTGCTGGAAAAGAAGATCTAAGAAGGAACCTATTAATATGGGTAGCAACCCACTTCAGGTGGGGAAATGAATTGTAATTTTAGGGTCTGACTATAGCAGCAAAAGCCTAAATCTAAAATTAAAACCTCCCCCGTTCAGAGCTGTTTCCTGAAGCTTAATAAAAGCAGGAGTTAGGGGGCTGGTGTGTACGTTGTACTGCTCCAGGAGAGAGTGTAGGTCAGACACCCCTCTGATGGCACAGTTCCTTCCTGGTCGCCCCTTTGCTCTGTGAGAAGGGGGAGTGATTTATTGCTGGCTTATACAGTAGCAAAGTGCACATCTCTTTGTTGGATCAGCATTGCTAGGTGATGTGGTGGGGGTGGAATCCTGGCTCAGCCCACTCCTCACCTCTCCCTGCTCGTGTGCTCTGGTGAGTAGCAGGCACAAAGAACAAGGGATGATGTAGCCCTAAAAGTCCATAACTTGTATAATAGATGGAGCTCCTTCAGTCTGTCAGGGCCTGTCTGCACAGCAGAGTTAACCCGGGCTCTTCCTCACGTGTTGTCCCTAACCCAGCTCCTGTCGCACATGGAGCCTTCTCATCAGAGTTTTTTGGTGCTTTCAACCCAGCTGGGGTATAGGCTAGCACTGCTTTAACTCAGGGTGGTAACCTGCCCACTTTGTAGTGAGTGATTCACTGTCTTCCCACGATTCCCGCACATACCCGGATGGACACACAATTTCTTCCATAGTTCACCGGGAAAGAATCATAAAGTTGCTCAGCTTATTGTAGTGCTAAGAACCATGGGATATACCCCCAGAAGTCCTAGTGACACACATGGGGGAGCGCAGCACCAGTGAGGTCACAGTGACTTGGCTGGGCCTTTGCAGTGTGGCTGCTCACAGCCAGGCCAGGGTTACCTGGGTACTCTGACCCTGCTGCTGATCACCTGAGTGCAAGTGAGACTATAAACCAGGGGTGGGCAAACTACGGCCCGTGGGCTGGATCCGGCCCCTCAGGGCTTTGGATCTAGCCCGCGGGATTGCCCCCCATGGCGCCGTGGGCCCCACGCCACTCTCAGAAGCGGCCGGCACCACGTTCCTGCGGCTCCCGGTTGGGCGGGCGGGCAGAGGGCTCCATGCGTTGCCCTTGCCTCCAGGCACCGCCCCCCGCAGCTCCCATTGGTGGGGAACGGGGAACCGCGGCCAATGGGAGCTTTGGGGGAGGTATCTGGAGGCGTGGCAAGGGCAGCACACGCGGAGCTCTCCGCCCCACCCTCCCCCAGGGGCCACAGTGCTTCCGGGAGCGGTGCGGGGCGGGGACAGGGCAGGCAGGGAGCCTTTCCCAGTGCGCATTGCTGCCACCCCGGAGCCGCTTTAGGTAAGCGGTGCCAGGCCGGAGCTCGAACCCCTCCTGCACTCTGGCCCCCAGCTCCCTGCCCTAAGCCCCCTCGTACACTCTGCATCCCTCCTGCACCCCAAATCCCTGCCCTGAGCCCCCTGCCGCACCCTGTACCCCTGTGCACCCCAACCCCCTGCCCTGAGCCCCCTCCTGCAGTCCACACCCCTCCTGCACCCCTGCCCTGAGCCCCCTCCTGCACCCCAACCCCCTGCCCTGAGCCCCCTCATACACCCCGCACCCCTCCTCTGCCCCAATCCCTTGCCCTGAGCCCCTTCCTGCACACTGCACCCCCTCCCGCACCCCAACCCTCTGCCCTGGCTCTGCATACAATTTCCCCACCCAGATGTGGCCCTCGGCCCAAAAAGTTTGCCCACCCCTGCTATAAACCAAAAAAGGACCTTTGGATTGGAAATGCCAGTGCAGCCTCAACCTCAGGGAATCACCGAAAGTTAGGGTTAGAAATATGCTTTATTTTCCAGTTCAAGTTTCAGTTTCTAACCTGGTGGAAGAAGTTCTTCCCAGCTTCTGGACAGCAGCTTTGGCAACATGGCTCCAGCTTTCTGTGAATTCAGACCTTAAAGTTCTATGAAAATAACTCCACCCTTTGTTAAATGCTTGGAGATCTGTGGATGAAAAGCACAGGGCAAGTGCTAGGAAACACCACCAGCACCTCCATCCTCATTATGATGTTTGTGTACTACTTAACATCCATTGTTTGAACAGGAGGCTGGGTTATTAACACACATTTCTTGTGCGTTTTCCTGCTGGGTTTATGAAGACGTACGTGCACCAATGTCTGTATAGTTCTGGGAATGCTTCTCTGCACGGCCTGCCTTGGGCTCAGACTAAAGCAAGGAGATGCCATCCATCCAGATGTGGTTTTCTTAAGCCTAACTGTTGTTGGACAACAGCACCAATCTGATTGTATGTTTCTGTAATGTATCTTTTGGTGATTTCCAGAACATTGGGAAAAAGATGACCTGTCAAGAATTCATTGCCAACCTTCAGGGGATGAACGAAGGCAAAGATTTCCCTAGGGGGCTGCTGAAGGTAAGGGATGAATTTAACGGATGGTTTTAAAATAAGAGATTTGCTTGTGCCTTCACTGACTGGTTCCTGAGTCACAGTTAAAATAGACCATGCGGTTTATTGAATTCCTGTTTGTTAGTCACGATGGTGAATGGGCTTTTCTCTGCTCCCAAAGTACATAAAAAAATTCACTCCTGCAAAGTCAATTAGTAGTCCCAATGAGGATACTTGCAGTGCATAAAGGTAAGTCTGTGCATTCGTCTCTGCAGGTTTGAGGCCAGAGTTTTTAATAAAAGGAAACAAAGGTGTGGCACAATCTACGAGTGCTATGTAATGATAAGAGCAGGTACAAAGCCAGCCAGTTATTGCAACTGAATATTAAAGACGGATCCCTGAATTGTGTATTATATAAGTTTTATATAGAGCTTGGGAAGAGGCGCATAGGGGCTTTCACATCAAAACGAGAGAGATAATTTCAGATTAGTACTGCTTTTCTTCAGGGTTTGTTTGTATAATTTTTGCGAGTCTTTAAATGTGAATAACTGCAGAGCCTGAGCTGGCTTCATCTCATTTTAGTAGCAATAATAGTGGGAAATATTTCTTTTCCTTTGTCTGGTTGTTGGCATGAAACATCAGGCTGTTTGAAGGGAGACAAGAGTTTACACTAGAGTTCATGAATTGTTCAGTAATGGGAAAATACGAAATATTGTTGCACCTGGCGCCTGACCCAAAATCTACTGAAGTCAGTGGAAAGATTCCCATTGCCTTCAATGGGCTTTGGATCAGGCCCCTAATGAAATGCAAGACACAGTATATAGTTCAAGGTAGTTTTTTTAATTTTTGTGGTTTCTCCGGTTGCTTTGGGCTCCTCCTGGGCTCTGTTTCCTAAATTTAAGCCCCTATTTGGAAAAAATAAAAACCTTGGCCTGGGTGGTTAATAACTGAAGTGTCACTGAAAGTACGGTCGCAGGTAAACTCATTTCTACCATTGCCTTGGAGAGGCATAGTGGGATTACTTGGCAGACTAATTAAAGGCTCTTATTGACTAGCTAGATCGCTAATGCTGTCTTTAAATAGCCTGTTTAGTGTACAAAAGGAAGATTTCCATTGGGCTCACCTGCTGTTTATTTTTCCACTGTTGGAAGAATAATGATCATTATCCTGGCCTGTGCTATTAAGGACTTTTAGCACTGACCTTAAAGCTATCCTAAATGGGTAGCTATAAACCTGGGATAGCTGGCTCTGTGCCAGCCCAGCCCAGCCCAGCATAGGGAGTGGGATAGGGCTTGGAGGGGTTGTTTCGGGGGCTAAAGAGGGTCTGGCAGGAATGCAGTACTCTCCATCAGTCCCTGCTTGCCCTTGTCCCGGTTCCTGGCAGATACTCTCATCTGTGTGGGAGGCTGATTACACCCCAGTCCGGCCCCAGGATCAGAGGGGGAGGAGGCAGAAACGTGGCTTTTAGAGCCACTGTTGCCTGTCCCCTGACTCTGCTGAGATGTGCTCTGGCACAACTGAGGGTTTGCCTCTCGTTGTTTTTTCTTAGTAAATCTGAATGTACCGAAAAGCAGTAGCCTTGTTTTTCAATAGCTCTTACTGGCAGTCTGCAGCGGATATCGTAGCAGCCAATACAGGCTTTATGTTTAGAAATAAAAATCAGGCACATAAGCCTTTATTCAGCAAGGTTCTTCAGCAAAATGCTTTTAATTTAACTGTTCCATTAGCAACACTATGGATGAAAGCAAATTCAGTGTCTGACTCAGAACCCCTAAAAACGGTGCCTCTCTAGGGTCCTTGCTCTTGACTTCGCAATTCCTGTTAGATCTATGCAGAGTCCACAAGGTGGCATGATGTCACAGCTGAAAACGTAACAGCGAACAAGAGTTTGAGAATACCAGACGCCCACCTCTCATCAATTCAGCAGGGGTCAGGGAGAGAACTGGACCTCTGCGAATCACAATTCTTTCTCCTCCCGCTGGCAAGCTAGGCATTTGCCATTATATGGAGCTGGGCTTAAAGGTATATTTTCCAAGTTTAGTGGATGCAGGGAAAGTTAATTTTTATTTTTTGTAGGCTCATGGCTAAGCAGCAGTTCTGCAGAAAAGGACCTGGGGATTACAGTGGATGAGAAGCTGGATACGAGTCATAAAATCATAGAATCTCAGGGTTGGAAGGGACCTCAGGAGGTCATCTAGTCCAACCCCCTGCTCAAAGCAGGACCAATTCCCAACTAAATCATCCCAGCCAGGGCTTTGTCAAGCTGGGCCTTAAAAACCTCCAAGAAGGAGATTCCACCACCTCCCTAGGTAACCCATTCCAGTGCTTCACCACCCTCCTAGTGAAATAGTGTTTCCTAATATCCAACCTAGGACTTGAGACCATTGCTCCTTGTTCTGTCATCTGCCACCACTGAAAACAGCCGAGCTCCATCCTCTTTGGAACCCCCCTTCAGGTAGTTGAAAGCAGCTATCAAATCCCCCCTCATTCTTCTCTTCTGGAGGCTAAACAATCCCAGTTCCCTCAGCCTCTCCTCATAAGTCATGTGCTCCAGCCCCCTAATCATTTTTGTTGCCCTCCGCTGGACTCTTTCCAATTTTTCCACATCCTTCTTGTAGTGTGGGGCCCAAAACTGGACACACTACTCCAGATGAGGCCTCACCAATGTCGAATAAAGGGGAACGATCACGTTCCTCGATCTGCTGGCAATGCCCCTACTTATACAGCCCAAAATGCCGTTAGCCTTCTTGGCAACAAGGGCACACTGTTGACTCATATCCAGCTTCTCGTCCACTGTGACCCCTAGGTCCTTTTCTGCAGAACTGCTACCCAGCCATTCGGTCCCTAGTCTGTAGCAGTGCATGGGATTCTTCCGTCCTAAGTGCAGGACTCTGCACTTGTCCTTGTTGAACCTCATCAGGTTTTTTTTGGCCCAATCCTTTAATTTGTCTAGGTCCCTCTGTATCCGATCCCTACCCTCCAGTGTATCTATCACACCTCCCAGTTTAGTGTCATCTGCAAACTTGCTGAGAGTGCAGTCCACACCATCCTCCAGATCATTAATAAAGATATTAAACAAAACCGGCCCCAGGACCGACCCTTGGGGCACTCCGCTTGAAACCGGCTGCCAACTGGACATGGAGCCATTGATCACTACCCGTTGAGCCCAACGATCTAGCCAGCTTTCTATCCACCTTACAGTCCATTCATCCAGCCCATACTTCTATAACTTGGCGGCAAGAATACTGTGGGAGACCGTATCAAAAGTCAGCAGTGTACCCTTGTTGCCAAGTAGGCCAATGGCATATTGGGCTGTATTAGTAGGAGCATTGCCAGCAGATTGATGGGAGTGATTATTCCCCTCTATTTGGCACTGGTGAGGCCACATCTGGAATATTGTGTCCAGTTTTGGTCTCCCCACTATAGAAGGGATGAGGACAAATTGGAGAGAGTCCAGCGGAGGGCAACGAAAATGATTAGGGGGCCAGGGCACATGATTTACGAGGAGAGGCTGAGGGAACTGGGCTTGTTTAGTCTGCAGAAGAGAAGAGTGAGGGGGGATTTGATAGCTGCTTTCAACTACCTGAAAGGGGGTTCCAAAGAGGATGGAGCTCGGCTGTTTTCAGTGGTGGCAGATGACAGAACATGGAGCAATGGTCTCAAGTTGCAGTGGGGGAGGTCTAGGTTGGATATTAGGAAACACTATTTCACTAGGAGGGTGGTGAAGCACTGGAATGGGTTACCTAGGGAGGTGGTGGAATCTCCATCTTTAGAGGTTTTTAAGGCCCGGCTTGACAAAGGCTTGGCTGGGATGATTTAGTTGGGGATTGGCCCTGCTTTGAGCAGGGGGTTGGACTAGATGACCTCCTGAGGTCTCTTCCAACCCTGATCTTCTACAGGAAAAGAAAATAACTGAAAGCCTCAGGAACCATGTAGCTAATTCTCCAGGAAGCTGGCCCTGACGTATGCCACAAGTGGAATCTGAATTGCCATGGCAAGGAAGAGCCATATTGCAGATACTGCTCTCCTGCATGGTATCTAAAACAACCAAAGATCAAGTAAAAATTAACTCTTGCCTCTAATTATACTCAGTCAGTCCCATTAACCTTCAGTGCCACTGAGAGCAGAATCTGGCTCAGTGAGTTTATTTTCTATGCCTTCGAAATGGCAAAATTTTGGTTTGCTGACATCAATCTTGCTGCATCCTGTGAAGTAGAGTGGTGAGACTGCTTGGAGCTAGGTAATACTCTCTTCATTATCAGCTTGAGAATCTCTTTGATGTGAGATCCGATTCCCCCCCTCCCCCAAGAGAGGTCTCTTTGTCTTACTAAGGTTTCTTGTACAATATCGACACTTGGATATACAGCACAGAGCTTTAGAGTTAGGCTGCAGAGTCTTTGATACTGCTTCAGGAGCTGAGATTTTATTCTTGCTGGAATTTTAAATGAGAAATCCAGATCCGATCTTCAGCACCTTGTGTCTTCCTGCAGATCTGCTCATTAACACTGAATAGAGCTTTACTCTGATATCTCAGTCTGTGATCCATTCCCCCTCTTTGTCAGATCTGAGGTGGTTGGTTTTTTTAATGTTGAAAACCGAGAGGAATAGAAGCATCAGTAACTGAGATGCTTCTGTTACTGGTTCCCCTGAGATCCCCTGAGATCTGATTGCAGTATTTATCCAATCAATACTTTACCAGGCAGGGAGAGATGTTTGGCTTGCTTTTAATTCCACCCTAGCTGCAGTAAAACCGTCTGTCACACGTCCCATGCAGCTGCCATCAGTTACTAATGGACAATATAAATGGAGATATTGGACCTGAGTCTTGTTTACCCTAAGGCCCCTTTATGGTGCTCTGGCAGTGCAGAGGCCTTGAAATGGGTGCCAGTTGTTACTACACTCACTCAGAGGCCTCTTCATGTCATCAGACTGGTGTAAAGGGTCTTGGGGTAAATGAGAATCAGGCCCCCAGGCTGTGATTCTCCCCTCCCTTGCATAGGTGTAAATCAGGAAGAACTTCATTGACA